GGATGGGAAACTGCCTTTGTGGACAGCTGAGTTAATTCTAAAGTTAAGCTATGTCTGCTCTCAGCCAATGGGAGAACTTGCTCCATCCTTCATTTCCTTGATACCAAAGAGTAATATTTGTTTCGTCTGCATCAACAGGGCCTGAAGGAGCTGGGTGAGAGTGTGGCCTCCAACTTAATGGGCCAGAGGGGTGCCACTGCAACACAGCAGTCTCCTCCTACCAACATGCCCACACCTGGAGTTGTCACTATCCTTGACACACAGGTAGTTAGTGCTTCACTTGATTTTTGTCTGTTTTTTTTTAATTGAATCTGTTGGTGATTATAGTGATATTTGGGAAAGTCATTGATGAGGAACTTTCCTTTGTTTTTTTCAACATATAATATGACGTGGGCTTTCTTCTACTGTAGAGGTGAATATAGTTATCCGATATAGAAATGATTCTTTCCCTGACACTTTATTGACATAATTCTCTTTATATGATTACTGCAGACGGTGGGCTCAGGAGAGATTAGCCTGCTGAGCAGTGGCACTTCCACTGGGATTGTTGCCCACTTCTCTGCCCACCATGGTGCACCTATAGTGGCTCTGAGCTTCGACCCAACTGGTATGCTGCTCCTTACAGCCGACAAGCAAGGCCACAACTTTCATCTCTTCCGTCTTCAGCCCCATCCACTCTCCTCTGCTCAGTCAGCAATTCATCATCTCTATACCCTCCATCGAGGAGACACAACAGCTAAGGTCTGTTGATTGAGAAGTTTTTGATTGAATTGATAAATTCAGCTTTGTAGATTTTACAAGATATCTAATCGTACTAACTTCTCTTTCAGGTAATAGACATATCGTTCTCATTAGATTCACGGTGGGTTGCTGTATCCACTCACCGAGGAACTACTCATGTGTTCCCTATTACCCCTTATGGAGGGAACATTGGAGTACGTACACACAACTCTAGCTGCGTTGTGAACAGGTGAGGCAAAGACAAATCTTGCTGGACATTTATACATTATTTATTAGTCTTAGAAGGGCTGTATATGGGCCAGCATTCTCTTTGAAAAGTACCCTAAATATCAGTATGTTTATTAGCACAAGAAATATATCCACAAACTAAATTAAACAGAATTTGTAAAATGGTACATATTGGAGAATTTTGATTGAATTAATAGATAAGGCCTTTGTTTATTATATCTATTTGTATATTTTGATATCATACTGCATATATGAAAAAAAAACTAAGGAAGGACTAAACCTTATAAAGTATATTTTGTGTATTTAGATATATACTGTTGTTTGTATCCTCCCAGGCTGAGCAGATTCCACCGAAGTGCTGGCCTAGATGACACACCCTCATCAGGTCGTAACTCGCCAGTGCTCTCAGCCTCCCCAAGCACTTCCAAATTTGTCTTTGAACCCAGTCCCAACCTTGCCTATCCTAACCCACGCTGTCCTCCTTACCCAACGCCAAATACCATCAAACCCCTTGTACAGCTTAGACAACCATTACTGCAGAATCTGATTGGTGAGTGTGCAAATGTTAAGTTTTTATAATGTAGGAGCTTGAAAATTCTATTACATAACATTTATATTGTGAATTCATTGTGATATAGCTCTATGTAGATGAATTATGCTTTTTCTCTACCACTTATCACTCAATTAGACCAAGTATTGAATATGCCTATACTGTAACTGATAAAGGATTACAACATTGGTTTAGATTAACTCGGGTATATCTCAAACTAATTTCTTAGGTACAATATCATCTGGGCCTTCACCAAGTCGCAGTCCACCAACGAGTAAGTCACCAAGGTCTCCCAGTGGTGATGATGTTATCAAGGTTTGTAATGGGTTTGCAAATGTTATTGCATTAGAAAAAGATGTAACAGTATTTATAGTCAAAAGATTTTTTCCTTAGAAAACACTTAGAAAAGTTTCTGTTTGTTGTTTTTTCATAAAGAGTCACCTTGAAATAAGAAAAATTATTGAGGCAAGAAATGTTGCTTTTTACATATTCATTGGCAAACAGACATATAATACCAGCCACTTATATGAAAAAGATAAGAAAACAAAACTGTAACTACATTTCACATATGAAGATTTTTTTTATTGTGTTCTCTACCTAATCTAGTAAGATTCTTTTCTTTTTTGAAATCTAACTTCAATCATATCATGACTTCCAAACTCAGGTTGCATCATTATTTGGAAGTCCTCGAGGTTGGCTTGCTGGGTCACCTACAGTGCCACGCGAAAAGCAGAGGAGAACGATGGATTCGCTTTTTGTCATGGCCTACCACGGGAACCTTTTAGAATACCACCTCGAGCCTCATGCAGCTGCAGGAATACCTCAGGACAAAGTAACAGAAGATTCGCCTATTGAACTAGAGGTAATTGTATAGTTGGAATCATATCACATCTTTGGCTCGGATATTCAAAGTTCAAGTCTATTATGGCTGTACAGTGTATTGTAGAGTTATTAGTATTGGAGTTTAGGCTCCCTATTCATTCATCCATGTTGGATCCATGTGTCTCATATCCATGTGGACCAGGATATAGGCTCACCTGATTAGCAACTCTCCCATGTGTAGTAGGTTTTGCCCACATGAACACTTGTATGGTATCAAGACTCCTTGCTTCCTATTTGTGGTGTTACTATGTATAAGCATTTTATGCTGTTTTGCTATTTTCTGAGGTCTATGTATATTATTTGTGTATGTATCAAGCTAAATTCCAAATTATCTCTCAAGGTAGTTTACCACAATTACGCTAAGTAACATCAGTATATATATATATATATATATATATATATATATATATATATATATATATATATATATATATATATATATATATATATATATATATATATTATATATTATTATTATTATTATTATTATTATTATTATTATTATTATTATTATTATTATTGTTATTATTATTATTATTATTATTATTATTCGGCTTTCTGTAACACACCCTGTGCTGCTGAGCATAGAAGGCATTAATAGGATCTTCAACATGGAAATAGTGTCCTTCCTGGAGCTGGCACTCTTCCAGGCATGACTTATGGATCATACATTCCACCCTCATTCATTATTGGAATAATGCAAGAGTCCTTCCTAAATACTCACTAAGGCTAATTTTCCTCCAAAGGCTTTGTGCATTTATTGTATGATATACACCTGCCACCCAACAACACCATCTCATGACATGTCATGCCTGTCACCTGGCCCTCAGTCAAATCTTTTTATGTGAAAGGCACATCTGGATCCAATAGTTTAAACATGCATGGAGTAAGAGGTTATGACTTAATGTTGGAATCCTCTTTACAAAATTGAAAAGTAAACAGAATTTGAAAGATTTAATGTGAATAGAATGAAGTTATCATTCCTTCATCAGTAAGGAGCATTACAAAGTCAGGACTGAGCTAGTTGTAAGGAAAATTCCAGATGGAAGTATTTGTTTTTTATATTAGGAGGTAGCAGTAACAGACTGAATGCTACAGTTGGTAGGTTTAATTTATAGGAAACAATTTATAGTGGTCAAGCAGTAGGTTAGAAAAAAATATGATTATATAGGTTCCTCATTCTTCAGAATTGTCATTATGAAGATTTAGTTTATCTTTTTTAGAAGTAAAATAAATTCTATTCATTGTCATTATTACCATGTTAGTTTCCAAGTAAGGAATAGAGATTTAAATATTGTGTCCTCCTTTCATTGATCAACATTTCTTCAGCATAATGTTTCTAACTTGTATATGTTTTTTCTTTTTTTTCCCCTTCAAGGTCCATGCCAGTGCTCAGTGGGCATTGGTTCGAGAGTCAACTAGTGGAGAGCTACGACCTCCTTTAGATCTGACCTCTCCACTACTGGCTCCTCTGTCACCTACACGACCAAGATCACTGTCACCAGCTCACTCACTTGATCATGACGATCCTGAAGAGAGGTGGATGGCTCAGGTTAGTGCTCAGGAATGAAGATAAAGAAACATTATAAAAAAGTACTGTAAATTTTATTTAAAGGCAGTGAGAGCTATGTGTATGAGAGCTTTTCAGTATTTTGAACTCATAAGGAGGCATGATGAATTTATTTTCAGATTACATTTTAAGTGTTTCTTATTCCACTAGAAGCAATTTAGCAGAGTGCAATCTAGTTATGGGGTTTGGTAAGTAAGGATATACAGTCTTTAACCCCATACTGACGGACCAAGTGCTGAGGCATCATAAGCACTATGAGCCGGGGGTTCAGCTTGATGTAGCGAACTCCTGCGCTCAAAGTTGGCTCATTGCCATTAATCTCCAGAGCGTAGAGCTTTTAAAATTTTCTTAACCTGTCAGTAAGGGGTTAAGGAAAAGGTAAAACCAGTATCCAAATGAAAGTGACTTACTCCGTAGGTGGAGATCCACACACATGCCGGGCCACACAGGAGACTCTGGATGGGCCCTCAGTTCACCTTTAAGTCCATCCCTGGTGTTGGTGTGGGCTATGGTGGTGGTTTTGGCCAAAGTGCCTTTGAGGGTCCACCTGTCTCCACCTCATCTGTTGGAAGACCTCCAAGGTCATCTCCTGTTAACATGCCTGGAGCTGGAGGTGCCAATGTGCCAGTTCTGATTGAGGCTGGTTCGCTAAGTAAGTTCTCTATACACTATGTTTGTAAGTGGTAAAATAATGTAATTGCTAACTTTTCAGAACATAAACACAACTGAAAGATATTGGAAATTGGATATTAGAAAAGTTATTATTTCTACTGGCCTTTTCTTAGAGTTGCATTCATTACTGTCTGACATTTCTATCTATACTAAACACTCTAGCAACCTAGAAATTGATAGTCAGTCACATAATTTTTGCCCTAGCTAAAGATGAATAAATATTGTCTTCAAAATGCTATAAAAAAAAGGTGTCTTGTGGCAGAATATTTTAGCATTTTCAAATGCTTATCTAAGATGTATTAGCTAATAGATAGGATAAACCTACTATTAGAAGGGTTGCTGATGCACGTTGAGAATACAAATAATCATGGGTTGAAAGGCAGATCAAAACCTGATGGTGCTTAGGCCAGGTGCATCAGATGCATTCTGTCTCAACTGATACAAAATTGCACAGAAACCCATAACCTTTTTTCATTATCACCATCATCCTTCTTCAAATAACAAGTTATTTATCATGATATTTCTAAGCAGTACTGCACTAAACTACATGAATCAGCACTGGATAGCCAGAACATATAGATCTTGGAAGATGTATATGGCTTATATATGGCTTACAGTGCAGCTGAGAACAGTAGTTGTCATGAAATTTCTCTCAAATAACAATTAGATTCAGTTAACCATTTGAATGGAATCTTCCAAGCCTTTTGGATAAAAGAGAGGTTATTGTATGTTCAAAAAATTACAAAACAAAACAAAATTATTCTTAGCATAGTGAATCTTCTATATTAAAACAAGGCATATCCCTCCCCTCCCCTATAGCTGGCAGCCATGATCAGTCACCAAGACTTATGGAGCGATACAGTGGGGACTCAGAAAGCTTTGACCCTGAGACCATGATGAACCAGCTGAGGCATGACCTGGCCGATGCCATGATGGACACGCAGATCCCTGGGAACAGAGGTGATACAGGTAAGAGAGCTCCCTGTTAGTTCTGTATGTGATCTGCCTATAGGTTAGTGCTCTGTTGAAAGATTTGCCCCGATTGGCGAGGAACAGATGTAGGTTTTGATTAAATGTTTCAGCAGGTTGTTGAAAGATCATTTCGCTGGAATGTTTTGTCCTTTTTATGTGTTTGTAAACTTACAGTGAAATGATGACTGTGAGATTGTTTTTGAGATACTGATGCACACTTTTTTTTTTTTTTTTATAAGGTAAATTTTATATATGAGTTTGTTTATGTGTGTATGTAGGTCATTCATTTATTTATATTGTATTTCTCACCAAAGACTTACTTTATCTGTTAACACAAGAAGCAGAGTGTGTTCTTTGACCTCTTCTTAACCCATTGGCCGCAGGTTTATGTATTGTATTTTCTTGTGAATTTAGTTGCACACAGATGGCTCCACAAGTACTCAACCACTAAGGAGTCAATTAGTATGCCTAGTGACCATGACTCGTTTCCCCATTCCCTGAATTTGGGGGAAATTTTTTTTTTTCTAATGCTAATGATATTGATATGGTTGTTATTATTTATTTTTAACATTACGATTAATATAATATTAAATTCCTGTTAACAATAAAGATAATATTATGATCTTTAAAAAATCAAGGAAAAGGGTAAACAGGTGAGATAGCGAGGACTCACAATTTACTTCTTGGTGACTAAGTATTTGTGGAGCCATCTCTTTGTAAACACAATAAATAGACTAAGATTGCAGTGAACATGTTATGTAGTCATGTTATCCTCAGCCATTGGGTTAAGTAAGATACTTTGATATATTTTACATATCATTGTAGCTATGTAGTGACTCCAATAAGTTAGGAGACATTTTTACATTATAAGCTTAATAGCTCATCAAGAGATGGTAGACAACCTGTTATTCTGACAGACATTAAAAAAATAATAATTCATTTTATGAAGGTTATTTGTTGCTACCAAGTTCTAAATGAAAATAATGCTTATATAAATCAACTAAAAATGTGAGTAAGTAAACCCATAAGTTTACTGATTTAACAGTATTCACAATGAAAAATAAATCTTGGAAATGAGAGTGGACAAGTGCTGATGTCTGTGATATTAATATTGAAGATACCAGTTTGCTGTCAAGCAAAATGCTACTGTATACATTACAATGAAGGAAAACAAGTATATGTAGCACAGTGCTTTGTTTTATAATTGTAACTATTAACTTGAATTTGCTTTCTTGTTTTTGTATCATTAATATTATCAGAAGAAGAAATATGTTAGTTTTTGGAAAAGAAGATTATTAGTTTCACTTTACTGATTATGTATACATTGTGATAAGTGTTATTTGAAGGCAAATGTTTTGTATTGAACTCTTCTCAATTTGGACACACATAACTCCTGAGCTGTTCTGATTTAATCTAGTCGACTTGCTCTGACTCGGTCTTTCCGATCAGCCTAATCCATTCCTGTCTAAACAGCTTAACCAGTCCTGTCCTTGTGTTTCTTATCAGAGTAATCCTAGTCCTAGTATTAATTTCTATGATCAGGTCCAATATTTGTAAAATGTATCATGCATTCTAACATGACTCTGTTAATTGTATTGTTGCTAATTTGATTACCAAATCCAAGTTCACAGTTCAGTTAGGGAGGGTAAAATGAGGAAATTGTAGATGTGCATAATTTAACTTAGCTCCTTCAAAGCTTACAGTGTTATTGTTTGAATGTCCTTACAGTTACTTTATATAGCTTTGTGTATTATTATTTTGCACAGGACTGACACAGTGACGGGTGCAAATATTTTTTATGCAATTTTTTTAAAGACTTGTGTCTAGCATGTGCTTTCTGAAATCAGATATATAGGGTTACCAAATATAGTGTTGCATTTAGATGTACTGGTACTTGATAGTATATATATGGAATGAATGACCACTTAAGAGCTTTTGTGCAGGTATGTATTTACACTTTTATTAGGATCTTATTACTTATACCAGTCTGAGAATTATGCCAATGGGAAAAGCTCAAGTATCTATAAGAAAGGGTAAAAGTCCTTGTGTTATAAAAATATTTTTCCATAAGATACTTTGTTGTACTTTTGTTGATCCTGGAAATCAAATCCTTAGCTCTATTGGGGTTAAAGCGTATATGCATTAGTACTTGGTTGTCTTTTATTTTTTTCTATTGAAGATTTGCTTATAAATGCATTGATATATATTTGTTATAGGTTTAGATACAGAGAATATGTCAGTTAGAATACCATTATTTTGATGGCAGTTGATTGTCAACATGATTCCATATTCCTGTTATGTGCCCCTTAACCCACTGCCGCCAGGACCATATAATGTCCATTGTAGCTTTGTTATGTGAAATGTGTTGTCACATAGATGGTTCCACAAGTGCTCAGCCACCAGGGAAGTCAGTTAGCATGCCTACATGATCTTGAGTTTGACATTGCTATTATTGTAAAGTTATTAGCAGTACTAAGAGCAGTATAAAATATTTTAAAAATGATAAAAATCAAGGAAAAGGGTAAACAGGTGAGGTACCTATGTGTAAGCACAATTGATAAACTAAATTCACAGTGGATGTGACATATATGTACATGCTATAACTAGTGGGAATATGTTAAGTTTCCATTTTCCATCATAATAAGATATGATTATTTCTACTTGACTGCTGAACAGATTTTATTCCAGTGATTCACCAAAATCATGTAAGGAAGGCATCATGCATTTCATTAATTTAACAGTATAATGAAGAGTGTTCTTATAATTTTTTTTTGTATAGGAAATGATGGGCTGGAATGACTTGCAAGTTAAGGTAGTGCTATTGCAGTAAGTAGGGAGAATGAATCTTCCTGTATTAAAGAAAGACCTCATATTCAGCTATTCAATTACTTTATGATGTAATTGCTGTAGCTGTATATCTTGTAGTAAGCTTTTCAGCCATAGTTTATTGCTTAAATGTTTTTGACTCTTAGAAATGTTTCATAGCTAAACAAAGCCTTGGATTTTGATGGGAAATATTTAGATAGTGATATGGTTCTGTGTCAGGTGTGCATCTAGTTATCCTTTAAAAAACATGAGGTACAGGAATTATCTGCTTCATTGCTTTGTTTCTGTTCTCCTTAGGAGGCCAAGGATTACCTTCCTTTTGCCGTCGACTTTGCTCACTAAAGAGCCTTGGTCCACATCTCCTAGGCACCATCATGCTTGGTATGTCATTGGAATGTGCAGAATGACATTTAACCCTTAAAAATCATTGCACTGCCTCTTAATTGCAGAGAATTAACTTTGTGTGATGTGTGCTTTGAAGCATAACATCCAAGGGTGACCAAACTCTTTCCCTAGTCTGCAGTTTATGGCTTTTGTTTATATTGCAAAAAAGAATCTGCAGTTTTTTCTTTTATCTTTATAGTTATGCTTTTTGTTTTTTCCCTTTGTGTTTTTGGTTGTTTCAAACCAGTAGTTTCATGTTTACACTTAATAATGACCTAGTACCTTGTGGTGTACAGTTAGTGGAAATAATGTATACTGATTGGTTAATTTTTGATGTCTAAATTTTTTTTTTTCCTGCTGAATATTATTATGAGTGCAAGATAAAAGATATTTAAAAAATATTGCATGACCATTTAAACATTATGTTTAAATGCTTCAAGTCCCTTACAGAAAAAAATAGTATTAACACAGTATGAGAACAGGGTGTGGTAATGTTTAGATATTTGTTCCCATATCCTTTGCCAAAGAAATGCTTCAAGAAGATGAGTTGGTGATATTGTCATAGCCATTAGTTCATTTCATCAGTGTCCTGTAGATGATGTGTTTGTGAACTCTTTTTCCAACTTGCAAGTGCTGTGGAATGTAGTGACTACACATACATACACATACATACACATACATACACATACATACACATACATACACATACATACACATACATACACATACATACACATACATACACATACATACACATACATACACATACATACACATACATACACATACATACACATACATACACATACATACACATACATACACATACATACACATACATACACATACATACACATACATACACATACATACACATACATACACATACATACACATACATACACATACATACACATACATACACATACATACACATACATACACATACATACACATACATACACATACATACACATACATACACATACATACACATACATACACATACATACACATACATACACATACATACACATACATACACATACATACACATACATACACATACATACACATACATACACATACATACACATACATACACATACATACACATACATACACATACATACACATACATACACATACATACACATACATACACATACATACACATACATACACATACATACACATACATACACATACATACACATACATACACATACATACACATACATACACATACATACACATACATACACATACATACACATACATACACATACATACACATACATACACATACATACACATACATACACATACATACACATACATACACATACATACACATACATACACATACATACACATACATACACATACATACACATACATACACATACATACACATACATACACATACATACACATACATACACATACATACACATACATACACATACATACACATACATACACATACATACACATACATACACATACATACACATACATACACATACATACACATACATACACATACATACACATACATACACATACATACACATACATACACATACATACACATACATACACATACATACACATACATACACATACATACACATACATACACATACATACACATACATACACATACATACACATACATACACATACATACACATACATACACATACATACACATACATACACATACATACACATACATACACATACATACACATACATACACATACATACACATACATACACATACATACACATACATACACATACATACACATACATACACATACATACACATACATACACATACATACACATACATACACATACATACACATACATACACATACATACACATACATACACATACATACACATACATACACATACATACACATACATACACATACATACACATACATACACATACATACACATACATACACATACATACACATACATACACATACATACACATACATACACATACATACACATACATACACATACATACACATACATACACATACATACACATACATACACATACATACACATACATACACATACATACACATACATACACATACATACACATACATACACATACATACACATACATACACATACATACACATACATACACATACATACACATACATACACATACATACACATACATACACATACATACACATACATACACATACATACACATACATACACATACATACACATACATACACATACATACACATACATACACATACATACACATACATACACATACATACACATACATACACATACATACACATACATACACATACATACACATACATACACATACATACACATACATACACATACATACACATACATACACATACATACACATACATACACATACATACACATACATACACATACATACACATACATACACATACATACACATACATACACATACATACACATACATACACATACATACACATACATACACATACATACACATACATACACATACATACACATACATACACATACATACACATACATACACATACATACACATACATACACATACATACACATACATACACATACATACACATACATACACATACATACACATACATACACATACATACACATACATACACATACATACACATACATACACATACATACACATACATACACATCCTTTGACGTCCTGAAGGCCTTTGGGAGATGAGGAGTGTGTTGGATTTTCATTTTGCTCTATCTATTTAGATCTTCTAGGTTGCTGGAAAGTAGAAGGGGAAAGAGTGTTCAGCAATGTTTCACCTCGGCAAAATTTCTAACTCACCATATCTCACCACAGTAACTGTCTAATATTATGAAACTGAGTCAACAGATCCTCCTACCCTTCCTCTAATAATTATTGTTATTAGAATAGCACAGAATAACAGTAATTTTGTTTTTGTGATCATCGATAATTATCGGTATTTTGTTGCTATTTTACTATTGTTACTGAATTGTGTTTACAGCTTTGTGTCAGTAAAAGGATAGAGTTTAAACAGTGTTTTGTATGGCAGAGGTAAAATTATTTTTTTACAGATGTTCTTGGAAGGCTTATGCTGACACTGGCATGAGAGATAGGAATGTAACTTATGATGGTAGGTAGTGGGAATACTTGAATCCGTGAGCCCGACTTATGCTGGCATATTCTGATATCAGAATACCAGACAGGCTGCTCGAGTGATATCATATGAGACTTAATTATCATGACAGATCATAGTTTTCTTGGCTTAGTCTTTATAGGGTTATTAAAATTTGAGTCTGATGGATTCTGTAAATACTGTTATAACATTTATAAAAAGGTATGCGCATTAAATGTGTATGTGAGTGGGTCTGAGAATGAGAAGTTGGCAGAGAGAGCAGTGCAGGTCGTGCAAGGTTAACAAGTAAGTGTGAAGCTGTTGAAAGGTAAGGCTTTTTTTTTTTTTTTTTTTTTTTTTTTTTTGTCCACTATGAGAAAAGATTAGACATACATAAGGAAATGTATTAGTTTAGGCAAAAAAACTTATTTCAAAAATATTGCATGACCATTTAAACATTATGTTTAAATGCTTCAAGTCCCTTACAGAA